TATTAATAGTTATTAAGATCGATGTGGTTTGGAAATGTGCTTGTAAAAAAATATGATCAGAATATCAACTTGCATAATAATTATGCACACTCTGTAATATATTACCTCATTTATATAATTAATTAGGAAAAAACGCTTAATGATCATTTTAAAATAATTGTTTTTATTATTGCTTTGTTTATTTTATATTTTACTTATTATTATATTAACATTTTATTCTTATTAATAATTGTCATTTACTTGTTAAAAGCTTAGTGTTTATTTTATCCCCATAAAGACATACTGTATCATATTTGATACATTAATTTCTAAATGATCCATGTGATCAAAACTTTGCTGAAAATCCTGTTGCACACAATACAGGTCTTCTGTCATCTGACTGATAGTTTATATATTTTTAGCAAGTAAACGTCTCTTATTATTTTTGTTAAACGAAATATATCAAATATGATCATCAGGATTTGAGAAATGTTTATTTGTTCATCTTTCAATTATCATTGTGGTATATGTTTTGAAACGAGAGAGCTTTGATCGTGAAACTAAGCATTTAAATATCATCTTACTAAGACATTATTGGGTGATATAGAGTCACAACTGATTTATATAGTAGTCTGTTTGACTACTTACTTGAATCAATGAGATATGTTATACAGATCGTCATTGATTTACAATTCCATATTTTTCCTCGAGTATGAGCTCCATATTCTCACTATATCGAACAATATGAGAAAAAGCCTCAATGTGATACTCAACATAAAACACATATGCGAACTTTATTTATTTATTTGACTTTGCCTACGGTTCAATAAACTATTCTGTATATAAAAAAAAAAAACAGAACAACAACAACAAACAAACCTATACATTTTAGGTTTTAGGTTTTAGACGGTTAAAGTGCCAAAGAATACACCGGAGGAAAAGCGTGCCGACCTTTTATAATAAACAAAGCACGGCTGTTGCATTTATGGATTTGTCCGCTGGGGGGGAGAACATTACTACACTTTCTTAAAAATGTGTTGCTTCGTTCTTCAAAACAAACAAACTATCTATCTATCTATATAACCGACTAATTAACTAACGAAATGCTCGTTTTGTTACAGTTTTTTACATTTCACTTTGGAGTTTGTAACCTATCTTTACCACACGATGTGACTGAGAAAAAAAATATCTACAGTTATTCATTGAAATTAATTAAAATAACACTTTACAAAAAAAGATCAATTAAACATAATTAACAAACACAAATGCATACACATACACATATTATAATAAATGTAAAATGGTTATAAATAAACAACAACAACATCACTGAGTGACAATACAATGAGATAAGGCCAACAAAATCTAAAGGTTATACAATAAACAATTAACACAGATCGCGAATGACATTACAGAGTCATTCAACAATCAGTTCAAATAATCATAAACAAGGAGAGCGTCTAAATGCATGAATTTTCTTTGAATTCTTCTCTGTAATATCTTAATAAGGTAAAGAGGTTTCAGAAGTGAGTTTAATTCCATTTTAAAAAGGGTATAGGATGGGAAACTATTTACAATTATTTTGTTTGTGAATATAAAATTGACCATATAAAATAAAATAAAAAAATAATAATAACAATAATAGCACGTTCCAGGGTATATTTGGTTTTATTATTGGAATTATTGGTATTATTATAATAAAAAATAATATATTTTAAACTAAAGGAGTGTACAACATTGGCAAAATCAAAACATTAGAACCAGATCAAAATTGCTTGGATATAGGGCAATCAAAAATTGATGCAAAAAGACATATACACACACACACACACACACACACACACACACCCCACACACACATATGTTTCCTTTATCTTATTTGAAATACAGTATTTCCCAGGTAAAAGTCGGGCTCTTTTCCAATCTATATCATCAACCAAAGACCTTCAGTAGAACTTTCCATTTGGCGAAATTGTCCTTTTAAATTGAGAAATTTGGCGCACATGTCTATTGTTACATTTCTTATCTAACAAATGAATACCTTCAAACAGTAGGCTAAAGCAGATCGTGTAGATAACCTACTTTACTTTTATTATTCTAATTGCCTATAGTTCAGTGTCATAATACACGCACATGTGCTGCCTGTTGTCCTCATGCACCAGTAGTAGCGGCCTGCTGTTGTTCTCTTGTGGAGACAGGGGAGATCCACGCACCTCCTTGTGTATGGCAAGCCATTTTGACTTTTATTCATTCTCAGGATATGAATTCTTGATATCAACAATTACATTTTTACTAGTAAAAATGTAATTGTTGATATCAAGAATTAACATTGTTACTAGTGGAAATGTAATTCCTGATATCAAGAATTAACATTGTTACTAGTGGAAATGTAATTCCTGATATCAAGAATTAACATTGTTACTAGTGGAAATGTAATTCCTGATATCAAGAATTAACATTGTTACTAGTGGAAATGTAATTCCTGATATCAAGAATTAACATTGTTACTAGTGGAAATGTAATTCCTGATATCAAGAATTAACATTGTTACTAGTGGAAATGTAATTCCTGATATCAAGAATTAACATTGTTACTAGTGGAAATGTAATTCCTGATATCAAGAATTAACATTGTTACTAGTGGAAATGTAATTCCTGATATCAAGAATTAACATTGTTACTAGTGGAAATGTAATTCCTGATATCAAGAATTAACATTGTTACTAGTGGAAATGTAATTCCTGATATCAAGAATTAACATTGTTACTAGTGGAAATGTAATTCCTGATATCAAGAATTAACATTGTTACTAGTGGAAATGTAATTCCTGATATCAAGAATTAACATTGTTACTAGTGGAAATGTAATTCCTGATATCAAGAATTAACATTGTTACTAGTGGAAATGTAATTCCTGATATCAAGAATTAACATTGTTACTAGTGGAAATGTAATTCCTGATATCAAGAATTAACATTGTTACTAGTGGAAATGTAATTCCTGATATCAAGAATTAACATTGTTACTAGTGGAAATGTAATTCCTGATATCAAGAATTAACATTGTTACTAGTGGAAATGTAATTCCTGATATCAAGAATTAACATTGTTACTAGTGGAAATGTAATTCCTGATATCAAGAATTAACATTGTTACTAGTGGAAATGTAATTCCTGATATCAAGAATTAACATTGTTACTAGTGGAAATGTAATTCCTGATATCAAGAATTAACATTGTTACTAGTGGAAATGTAATTCCTGATATCAAGAATTAACATTGTTACTAGTGGAAATGTAATTCCTGATATCAAGAATTAACATTGTTACTAGTGGAAATGTAATTCCTGATATCAAGAATTAACATTGTTACTAGTGGAAATGTAATTCCTGATATCAAGAATTAACATTGTTACTAGTGGAAATGTAATTCCTGATATCAAGAATTAACATTGTTACTAGTGGAAATGTAATTCCTGATATCAAGAATTAACATTGTTACTAGTGGAAATGTAATTCCTGATATCAAGAATTAACATTGTTACTAGTGGAAATGTAATTCCTGATATCAAGAATTAACATTGTTACTAGTGGAAATGTAATTCCTGATATCAAGAATTAACATTGTTACTAGTGGAAATGTAATTCCTGATATCAAGAATTAACATTGTTACTAGTGGAAATGTAATTCCTGATATCAAGAATTAACATTGTTACTAGTGGAAATGTAATTCCTGATATCAAGAATTAACATTGTTACTAGTGGAAATGTAATTCCTGATATCAAGAATTAACATTGTTACTAGTGGAAATGTAATTCCTGATATCAAGAATTAACATTGTTACTAGTGGAAATGTAATTCCTGATATCAAGAATTAACATTGTTACTAGTGGAAATGTAATTCCTGATATCAAGAATTAACATTGTTACTAGTGGAAATGTAATTCCTGATATCAAGAATTAACATTGTTACTAGTGGAAATGTAATTCCTGATATCAAGAATTAACATTGTTACTAGTGGAAATGTAATTCCTGATATCAAGAATTAACATTGTTACTAGTGGAAATGTAATTCCTGATATCAAGAATTAACATTGTTACTAGTGGAAATGTAATTCCTGATATCAAGAATTAACATTGTTACTAGTGGAAATGTAATTCCTGATATCAAGAATTAACATTGTTACTAGTGGAAATGTAATTCCTGATATCAAGAATTAACATTGTTACTAGTGGAAATGTAATTCCTGATATCAAGAATTAACATTGTTACTAGTGGAAATGTAATTCCTGATATCAAGAATTAACATTGTTACTAGTGGAAATGTAATTCCTGATATCAAGAATTAACATTGTTACTAGTGGAAATGTAATTCCTGATATCAAGAATTAACATTGTTACTAGTGGAAATGTAATTCCTGATATCAAGAATTAACATTGTTACTAGTGGAAATGTAATTCCTGATATCAAGAATTAACATTGTTACTAGTGGAAATGTAATTCCTGATATCAAGAATTAACATTGTTACTAGTGGAAATGTAATTCCTGATATCAAGAATTAACATTGTTACTAGTGGAAATGTAATTCCTGATATCAAGAATTAACATTGTTACTAGTGGAAATGTAATTCCTGATATCAAGAATTAACATTGTTACTAGTGGAAATGTAATTCCTGATATCAAGAATTAACATTGTTACTAGTGGAAATGTAATTCCTGATATCAAGAATTAACATTGTTACTAGTGGAAATGTAATTCCTGATATCAAGAATTAACATTGTTACTAGTGGAAATGTAATTCCTGATATCAAGAATTAACATTGTTACTAGTGGAAATGTAATTCCTGATATCAAGAATTAACATTGTTACTAGTGGAAATGTAATTGCTGATATCAAAAATTCAATTTCTGCGAGTGATGATGTCATTGTTGATATCAAGAATTCATATCCTGAGAATGAATAAAAGTTAAAACGGCTTGCCATACCTTGTGATCGGCTGATTGGTCGAGCGCTGAATCTGGGCAGGACAGGAAACGGGACGCGAGGAACGCGCAGCAATCTCCGTTCTCCGGGAGAGAGAATGGGAGAGGAACCCGAAATGTGTCAGTAGAAGACTAGAAGGATTGAATCGGACAAATTAATAATTTGCCTTTTTAGTAGATATATATATCGCGCTGTTTAGCACAAGGGACGTGGGATATTTACCTTTAACATTATTCTTAATAATTATCGGCTGTTTTCATTGCATAAAAGAATTGCAGAGCTCTTCGCCGCTGGGTAAGTGGATACTATTATCTCATCTTTCTTGTGTCTGATACTCATACATAGGCTTTAACTTGTGCGGCGTTCTGTTGTAAAAGTGGGTCTACATTGGGAAAGGGCTGGTAGATCCCAAACTGGCTAAACAAACTGGTTTAGTTATACTGTCTGCTGTTATTGTGTGTCCTTATGAGAAAATTGCCTGGACAAAAAGACATGGAGCGTGTTAAAGAAAGGGGTCGAATTCATCTTAGTCATTTGACAATGGGACAGTTCCTACGTGCACAAAAGCTCTGCATCATCAGTCAATGAATTTGGCTGACCAGGTGGTGTTTTTTTTCCAGAACTGTAATAAGCTCGTGTGATTATCCACGTTTGGCTTTATCTCCAGTTGAGTCAAAAAAGCCTCTGGTTGTTCTGGGTGTGTGGCCAAGTAGCCTATATGTACTGTGGCTATAGCGCATGGTCTAGTGATCAATGTGACATTTCGAGCATTTCATCATGTTACATTTATCTACCAACAACACTTTAACAGAGAAATAAAAAGTCCGTTACGTGTTTTCATTCAACGCTGTATGTCGGCTTGATCCTGGGTGTGTTCATAACGCCCATAAATTGCATGCCCCCTTCACCCCACGCTGGTGAAGGTAGTTGTTTTATTTTCACGCACTGTAATTATGCGTCCATTTCTGCGCTTTAAAATTAATATCACTTGAGACAATGTTGTCAGCTCGCTGGTCTCCACCCTATCGAGCCCGTGGGCTAGCATGTAGTTCTGGATTTTAAACCATACATCTCGATCTGATAACCCTATAGGGTTGATAAATGAATGAAAGCAGTTTATTAAGGTATTGAGGGGGGAAATGCAAGCTATGTAAAGATTTCCGGCGTGTTTAAGCGTCTTTTATTTGCATGTCGCGTGCGCTCTAGCCCATCGATCGTGTCCAGACTGTGTTCATTGTCCTGCTACAGTGACTCTGGTCCTAAATGTGTTTGTCACATGTCCTTTTCCAAGTATTTTCAATATCGTTTTTAATGTAATTCTTCATCCATGTCCACGAATGGTCATTGAATCGTGATGTTGCGCCCATGTTACTGTTAAAGTGGGTTTAAATATAATTGGTGTTTATTCTCAGAAGAATAATCGTGTTACTCCTGACACACAGGATATGTTAAACAGGGATTGTCCCTACAAGCCTGGTTCATGATTACAGGGAAATTACATCAAGACCTGTAATTTATTGGGGACCATTCCAGTGCTACTTTTGAGATGTTATTGTTCATGGACACACCTCAGTTTTATAGTTGTAAATTACTCATTAATGTCATACAGAACGTGTCTAATCGGGATGAAAAACTGTACTTTTACACCAATCATTTCTGCACAAATATGTAACAAATAATTTGAACCAGACTATTTGTACATAACTGTGTCAAAAAAACAACAACTGGTGAGTGAAGCAAATCTAATTTGTTTTCCCTGGTAGGACTAAATGACTGACTGCAGCTTAAGTATATTTGACAAGATCCACTGAGGGGTGTCCATGCTTTTCAAGTGCTTCTACCAAATAAAAGTCCATGTAGTGAGCGATTAAATTATAGGAAGTTTCTCAATAAGTCCTTGTCACTTTTTCCTATTTCCTTTTCAGTCTGTGCCCTTCAGTTGTGTCCTTTTTTAGTCTGCTCTAGCTGTTCACTGTCAGAGGATGTTGTCTATGTCCTTAATAGCTAATGGATAGAAAAATAAGAAAAGTATTTGGTCCATGTTTTCCCATTTTTCTCAGTTCCTTGTGCACTGCCATGCAGAGAAGGGAATCTATGGTCCTCTAGGCATGAGTGTGGACAAAGCAGTTTGGATGAGAAAAACAGCTGTCGCTAATGCATCACAGCGAGACACATATCTAAGTTGTCTATGTGTGTCAGCAGTTTAACTAAACATGCTTTTACAGTTAACGCCAAATTTGCAGGAGATAATCCAGGTTTGCATGGGGCAGTTTTATATACAGTACATCATCTCCATCCTCTAGTCCAGTGTTTCTCAACCCTGGTCCTGGGCGCCCCCCAGCACTGCACATTTTGTGTGTCTCCCTAATCAAACACACCTGATTCAACTCATTAGCTCATTAAAAGAAACTCCAGGACCTGAAATGGGTGTCAGATAAGGGAGACATTCAAAATGTGCATTGTTGGGGGGCACTCAGGACCAGGGTTGAGAAACACTGCTCTAGTCGCTACATTGTTTTTTTTTTTCAAATACATTTTTGTTATTAGACTTTTGCCAGTTTTGTTTTGATTTAATCTCTTTAAAAAAAAGAGAGCGAGCGAGAGAGACTTTAAGTTGGTCCCGAAAACAGTGCTTTTTTTGTTCAAGAGCTGGGGCCACACAAAAGATGTTAGTTGGTGTTATTTTACCAAAGCTCCCCCTCAGAAAAGGGGGCAGACCTTCAAAGAGAACTGTAACCCTCCGTGAAACAGTCACCAGGGAAAGTGAAACCAGATAGGTCCTCAGCAGCTACAAGGATCCGCAATGGAGCACCTGGAGGCCAGCGAATGCCCTGCTGGTATAAATGCTTGGCACTAATCATCAGGTGTGCTTGGTCCTTCCCTTTCAGGCCTTTCAGAGCCAGACTCTTCAAAATCAGCTGTCTCTAATTTGCCTTAAGTAATTTGCCCAAAGTTAACTCCCAGACAGAACTGATAAAGAAACAGTTGAGAATGATTTAGCAAGGAGTGCAAAGAAAGCAGATTTTAATAAATAAAAGCATATTATTTTCTTTTGCATGTTTTGGATATCTGTGGCTTTGGACATTGGGGAGAGAGTGTTTTAAAAGGAACTGTGAGTTGTGTGTGTCTGTTATTTTTCAACTAATTTACCGTGCTTAAACTGCATTTACTATCCACTTATAAAATAAATTGCTTCAGGAGAACAGTAGGCTTGTTTAACAGTGCAATTGTGAAGAAATTCGATTCAGACAGGCTTTATGTATTACATTTATGTGCAGAGCAGATTAGGCTACACATTAAATTCATCCTCATTAAAGGGATAGTTCCCCAAAAAATGAAAATTCTGTCGTCATTGATTCACTCTCATTTAAATCCAAACCTGCATGACTTACTTTCTTCTTTGGAACTGAATCGAAGATTTTTTTGAGAAATGCCTCAAGAGTGTTTTACAATGTAAGCCAATGCTCACCAATACTGTTTAGTTTCCAGCATTTCAAAAAATATCTTCTCTTATGTTTCACAGAAGAAAGAAAGGCATACAAGTTTGGAACAACATATGAGCAAATGATGACAGAATTACAATTTTTGGGTGAACTATTCCTTTAATAAATTTAGTGTATCATTAAATGGAAATCAGTCCGAAATACATAGTTTAAACAAATGATTGAAGCTGAAACAAAAAGTGACATGACGGGTGAATTTACATGCATTTTAAAAGTTCGATTTTGAGTCAAACTCATACAATAACAGACCTACAGTACATAATGGGATAGTTCTTGGGTTTGTCCAGCATCATGTTAATCAGACAACAATCATACTCCGTGTTGTACACTTACACTAAAGGACAGAAGTAACAAAGGTGCATTGTATTTAATCCTTCAAATATTCAATTATGCATTGTGTCATGTGTATTTCGACAGACAGATGAAGACTGTAGTTTGACTATGCAAAACCCCCACTGTTAAAACTCTGCATGTAATCTCACTTACTCATTGAAACACTCCTAGAATTTGAGTCTTTGTGATGATTCAAACATTAATGTGATGTAGCCACACACTGACTGTCATTCTGGACCAAATCTCTGACCTCATCACATTCCAGTGATTTTCTAAAAGAACTTTAGAGGACAAAATGCTTTCATGCTGCCTCTCATATGAAATGGGGAAAGGTTTGGTGAGATGCTTCTTTATCATTGGTAACTTTATACAACTAAGGCATCCAAACTTAATTTGGATGGAATTGTGCAGATGTCAAAATGGATGGGGAAAGTTGGTAGAGATGGCTTTTTCTTATTTCAGCTATTCTGGAGAAACGTCTGAAGAAAGTGTTTGCGTGTTTGAAAGAAGTGTTTGCAACACATTGGAAAATTCTTTACTAAAACTTGCTAGTCTGGCAAGAACAAATGAAGTGGCTCATTGCCCAGATTCTGAACTTTATTCTTCCCTTCCATGTGTGTCCCAATGATGTTTGACCTCTCGTGACATTAGTGATCTCACCATGACGACAGCCCTACTTCATCCAGCTGGAAAAGATATCACTGAGTGTTCTTCCCTTCCCTCAGAACAGAGTTTTCTCATTCAGTACGTTTACATTAGAGAAAGAGAGGGATGACCAGAAGAAATATACTGAACTAAAGCAAGAAGATGTAATTAAAATAATTACACAATTAAATAAATTAATAGAGCGTACGATGAGGGGAAAGAAGAATGCATCAAATCCAGCATCGGGATGATCTCATTTATTAAAAAGCTGTAAGGTCATATCTCTGCTCTGAGAGTGAATGAATGAAAGGAACGAGATGGGTCAGAGCATATCCGGTCACCACTGTGTGAAATGTCAGCCCTCATGGAGTTCTTTATTTGTTGCTTAATTGTTTATGGTTGCAGTATTGTTGCTTATTCTTCCACTGCAAATTCCAGAATGTTTGCATCATATCCTTTTGGAAATACAGTTGCCATCTGAAAGCAGTGAATCTGTATGTTGGGAAATTTGAAGTTCAATGAAAACAAAATGTTTAGAATGAAGATATGAAATTAATTTAGCTGTATCTGGTTGTACAGGCTGATGATATCTGACGATTGCAATGGAGCCATTTTGTGCTGTTTTTAGTGCACTGGCACAAATGTCATATTTCTTTATATGATTTTGAAGAAGTTATTTTAGACAGTGAAACACTCTCTTCCTCATGCTACCAGCAGTCTACCAGTAACTTTAACAACTTTATCAGTTGTTAACAGTCTTTAACAACTGATTTTCATTTGTTAGCTATAAATGTAAGCTTGTTCTACAAATGC